ATGTGCCCTGATTGGGAATTGAACCAGCGGCCTTAGGGTCTTGGGCTGGCACTCAATCCACTGAGCCACACCAGCCAGAGTGTAAGTTATTTAACCTCTTGGTGCCTCAGTCTCCTCACACGTACAATGGAGTTAATACCGACCTCATGCAGTTGTAAGAATCAAAGGATATAAAACGTGTAAAAGCTCTATGATCTGAATGTTTGTGTCCCCCTCAAATTCATACACTGAAGTCCTAACCCCTGAAGGTGATGGTATTAGTAGGTGGGGCCTTTGGGAGGTGCTCCAGTCCTGAGGGCGAAGTCCTCATGAATAAGATCAGAGCTCTTATAAAAAGAGTATCCAGGGAGCTGTTGAGCCTCTTGCACTGTGTGAGGGTAAACTGAGAAGCCTATGACCCGGAGAGGGCTCTTACCTGAGCAGCCTCCAACACTGTGAGAAAGAAATTTCTATAGTTTATAAGTTGCCCAGTCTGTGGTATTTTGTTATTACACTGAACATAATAACCAAGGCAAGCTCTTAGAACTTGGCTAAGTTCTTAGTACCTGGCTAAGTGCTCAGTACACTCTGGCTGCCATCACCAACATAAGCACCAGTGGCTCCCTCTGTCCCCCGCAGGAATTTCCTCCCTCCATCGACTCTATTCAAATTTCAGCTCGAAATAACTGTTTCTAAGAAGTTTCCCTTAACTACAGGGATTTATAGGAATCTTGCCATCCTCTAAACTCATAGAACAATTAGGACCTATACCAACAACAGTATTTGGCACTGATCTTATATAAATTAAAGCGTACATAGTTAATTAACTTTTCATAAAAAATGAACTATGTCTTTTCATAAAAAGTTAATTACATAAAGTATTTATCTTGCATTACCAAGTAAAGTGTAAACTATCTCACATGAAACACATTTCCAATATTTTTATATTGCCCAGAGAACTTGGCACAGTGCATGCACAGAGCAGGCGCATAGTAAATATCTGTAGAAGTATTAATAGTTAATGCAACGCACACACAGTTGATGGCTTGTTCGCTAGCTTAGAAAATGTTAAAGAGAAACAAATCATAATCATGAGGCTTTTTTAGACTGTCTTTAATAACGATCAATACGTACAACCTAAAGGGAAGGGAGAAAAAAATGTGTTTCCTCATTTAATTTTCAGATCTACTACAAAAATGCCTATTCTTAAGGGATGAATACATTCCTGCACATAATTGAAATCACTGACAGAACCAAAGAAGAGATTGATGGGGGAAAAAATTAAGAGTTCCCTCTCTCTCTAATCTGGAAGTAATTAACAAGAAACTCAAAGGAAGCTCACATTTTACTTTGGCAACGTGTTGAATAAACGGACCCTTCAGTGCAACCTTGAATTTGGAATCTGGTTCAATTCAACATTAACTGAGTGCCTTCTACCTTTAAACAAACCCCACCATCTCTTGCAGCAATTTTAATCTCTACAACTCATTCCAGCAGTTAGCCACGTAACACTTTTCACTCTTTCGTGTGCGTATTAGCTTCAGCACAGGTTACAAGTTCTTCCTGATCAAGCATGGACTTTGAATTTTACTTTTTCTGGCATCTGGTAAAGTGTTTTGTACATAGTAGGTCCTCAACTATCTGTTCTGACTGAACAAATAATCTTACAGTGTATGCTCCTGGATGAGTACTAGCCCAACCAAATCTGTGGCCACAACATACTAAATGCCTACTTCCACCACGCACCATGCATTTTACACTTTAAACTGCACAACAACCCTTTGAAATAAGTGTCATCTCTTTTACAAATTGCAAGACTGAGACTTTAAAGAGCTTAAGAAAAATTTTCCAAGATCCTACAGTTAGTAAGAAGTGAAATGTGACTTAAATCTATGTCTGATTTCTATCTTTCCTAAATAGTTGGGGATCAGCATGCAAAGAAGGTGCAATTTTTTGTTGTATAATGACGGGAAAATAATGTTAGAAATTAGATGGAGGGCCCATTATGGGATGTTTCAGAGGTTGGTTCGGTTTTTATCATGGCAACAGTAAGCCACGTTGCTTCTCTAAAATAGTAAGTGATCCTCAGAGCCAGGATTGGGGGGCAGAGTATGACACTGACATGACTTCTCTAAGTTCAGTGAAAGAACAAAGTAGGTTTAGACCAGTGAAATGGCACTGAGTTTTTGTTTGTTTTATAGCAAATGCCAAGGGCTATCAGCCTTTTACAAATGACATATCAAAATCTCATTCATCTACTTCTGGAGTGCTTAGAACAGAAGATATTAAACATACTGCCTATGTGTTAGCCCCTGACCTGACCTGATTTCTGAACAGGTGCGTGAGGTTAAGCTTTGACCTCCAGTTTGCAAACAAGGGTGGGGAGAGAGGGATGTGTCACAAAATACATCGGACGCCAACTCTCAGACCAGTAGGGAGGAATATATTGACGGCACATAATTAGAACATCCTATTCCTCAGTCATTCAGTATAAATAAACTTGATATTATGCTCACTTTTAAAAAATATTCACTATACTATAATACTAGCAAGAATCTCTTGCTTATTTCTATTAATGTTTGCCAAGCTCCTCTGCTTGCTTGGTAGAGATTATGCTACATCCAGCGGCAAAGAAATGGAAAGTGTACATCTGGCCTTTTGTCTCAAAGTCAGAGTTTCTCACGCTTGTGAAGTCAAGAAATGCTTAATCAGCACCTGTCTGCCCAATTTCAGGCATGAATAATTGCCTGGAAGAAAGTTAAGATATAACACCAGAAACACCAACCATAAAGAAACAAATTGATAAAACAGACTTCATCAAAATTAAATACTTCTGCTCGAAACAGTTGAGAGAATAAAAAGATGAACTGCAGACTGGGAGAAAAACACTTAGAAAGCATTTTTCTGATATAGGATTTATATCCATAGAGTATAGAGAACTGTCTAAACTCAATAATAAAAACAAACAACTCAATTTTTTAAAAGACAAAAAGATCTATACAGACACTTCATCAATGAAGATATGAGGATGACAAATAAACACATGCAAGGATGCTCAACAGTATTAATCAATAGGAAATGGAAATTAAAACCACGAGATATCACTATTCACTTACTAGAATGGGTCTCATACCAAGTATTAATGAGGATATAGAGGGACTGGAATACTCATACATTGCTAGTGGGAACATAAAATCGCACAACACTATGGAAAAGCATGACAATGTCTTACAAAGTTAAACATATGCCTACCATATGATCCAACTATTCCATTCTAAGGTTATTTACCAATTACAACTGAAAACAAACGTTCATACAAAGACTTGTATATGAATATTCATAGAAGCTTTATTTCTAATAAATCAAAACTAAAACAAAAAAATATAAATGTCAATCAACAGGTAAACAAACTGTTATATATCGATACAACAGAATACCACTCAGCAATAAAATCAATGAACACATAAGCAACACAGATACATCTTAAAATAATTATGCTGGGTAAAAGCAGCTAAGAAAGAGAGTACATACTGTATGAATCCATTTATAGAAAATTCTAGGAAATACAAACTAATGCATAGTGACAGAAAGCAAATCAGTAGTTGCCTGGGAATGGGGGCAGGGGAACGGTGCAGGGAAGGGCAGGAGAGATTATACTGAAAAAGGGAAGAAAAAAACTTTCTGGGGTGATGGAGAAGTCATTATCTTGCCTGTGGTGATGGTTTCATGAATGTACACATACGGCAAAACTTACCAGTTTATAAACTTTAAATGGGAGTTTTTGTATGTCAATTACTCCTCAATACAGTTATTTTAAAAACCAATTGAAAAGAGAAGACGTATACATGTGAAAAGAAAATCTTTGTTACATATCCTCAAGCTGTGGGAGTTCAAGGTTTCTGAGGAGAGATGTTTAGAAATGGCTAACCAGAAAGGAAGGACAAGGGAATTCACGAAGAGGATAAAAGAAAGAGCAAAAACTCACGAAGACAGGCAAACACAGTAGGGCTTAAAAGTAAATTATCCTGTATAAAGTTTTTAATTGCATAACTGTTTTAAAAAAATTGATGAGTGATAAATATGCATGTCATTTCCTCACAGGAAAAAAAATGCAGAATTGTGTTTAAGAGATAAAACATGAGCAAAAGATCTGAACAGACAGGTCTCTAAGAAAGATACACAAATGGTCAGTAAACACATGAAAAGATGTTCAACATCTTTAGTCATCAGGGAAGTGGAAATCAAAACACTGAGATACCACTTCATACCCTCCAAGATGGCTAGAATCAAAAAGTCAGGTAATGACAAGTTTTGGTAAGAAAGTGGTGAAACCTTCATACACTGCTGATAGGAATGCAGAATAGTGCAGCTGCTTTAGAAAGCAGTCTGGAAGTTCTTCAAACAATTAAACGTAGTATTATCACATGACTCAGCAACTTCCAAGATAAATGAAAGCATATGTCTAAACGAAAACTAACACAAGATGGGACAATGGGGGAAACTGTGCATTTGGTAAGGAGAAGGGGGTGGGCTTAGAGGAACTCTCCTGTACCTTGCCATCAATTCTTCTATAAATCTAAAAAGGTACTAAAATTCTAGGAAACAAAATCATGGCACGTGGGAAGATGAAGAAAATATATTTTAAGATTTTATTTATTTTTAGAGTGAAGAGGAGGGAGGAAGGGAGGGAGAAAAACACTGATGTGTGAGAGAAACATTGATCAGTTGACTCTTGTATGTATCTCAACCAGGGACCAAACCCACAACCCAGGCATGTGCCCTGAACAGGAATCGAACCAGCAACCTTTTGATTTGCAGAATGATGTCCAACAAACTGAGCCACATGGGTCAGGGCCTAAGGTCCTTACCTTACACTGTTTGGGAAAAAGAGATGTTGGTATCTTTAGACTTTGAGTCAAATAATGTATGCAAACAATTTAACAGAAACCATTAAATGAAAAGATTAACTGAAACAGATTTCCTACGAAGCAAACCTATTATTTTTAATTATGGTGGCTTACCTGAGACTCCAGAACCTCCAACTTACGTTTCCTCGCATGAAGAGCTTTACTTGGAAAAGCCCAATAATAATTAGACGTTCCAATCCGCTCACAGTCAACCATACCATCATCAACTAAGCTTTGAAGAACTTCTTTTACTGACATAGCAGCTGAAAGATAATTTTAAAACATATATTATAAATAAAATTAAAAAGCCAGTAACTGGGGAAATACAACAATATTATAGATCAAGAGTTAATAAGTTAATCACATGTAATAGCATAAACAATAAAATATATTTTAAAAAAGAGTTAATAAATAAGGAACTTTTAAAAATAATAACAAAAAAGTCAAGTACTCCAGTAGAAAAACAAAAGTATATCAATGGGAACCCACAAAATATGCATGGTCAATAAACAGGAAAAATGTTCAACCCTATTAATAATTAAAGAAATGTGAAATAGCAATGAGATATAGTATTCTGACTACCAAGTTAAAGCCACTAAAAGACACAGTAAAGGATCTAGAGAAATGGGTACTCTCAGTATAGGTGGAAAACATGGCAGCGTGCATCTAAAGACTTAGATTTCTGCATGCTTTTTATGCAGAGATGCCACTTTTATAGATTCAGCCAAAAAAAAAAAAAAGATGGATACGCATAAGGATTCTTGTCAAAGCAGTTTTCAATAGTAAAAAGTTGGAAACCAGTCCAATAACTGGACTTTCATAAATATTTGATTGTGATGGAATACCATGCAATCATTAAATTTGTGTTATAAAATGTTTAATGGCATGGTATAAATACATTCAAAATGTATTATGTAGAATGTATTATATCAAAAAATGAAGTTAAAAGACAGTATACACTAATGTGACAGTGATTATCTTTAAATGACAGACTAAGAAGCAATTTTTATTTCCTTCTTTTTGCTTATTTTCTTATTTTTCCCCAACAATAAACTTGTATTGCCTTTTTTGCTAAGAAATCTAAAATAAACCTATTATGAAAAATTAAACAGTAAATAAAGAAATAAACTAGATATTATGGTTAGGGGTTAGTTTAAAAATCAGAAAAAAAGTTTTTAAATAGCACATAACAATACAAAGTCATGTTCCACAAATGTTTGAAATTCATGAACAATTCTTTCTATTAAATAAAACTGTACCAAGAAATTATTCATATTTTAATGTCCATTTTAATTTTTCCTAGAGCTGATCACCAATATAATAAAATCTATTAGAAACTTTAATAAATAAAATTAACACCAAATATGTAAAACATTCAACTCATTGTAAAGAAATACAAACTAAAATAAAATGTCAAAGAATTCTAAAGTGAAACACAGCTCTGAGAAATGAATGTGAGTTTAATTTGGTATAGGCTTTCCTGAGGTAATCTGAGAATGCATATAAAAAGCTTAAGACTACACAAGTCTCTATTTTCTATTCTATTTCCTTCTGAAGTAATATGAGATGTGGAAAAAATTTATGAGGGGGAGAGGAAAGGATGAATAGGCCGAGTACAGAGGATTTTTGGGGCAGTGAAAATACTCTGTATAATACCACACGATGGATCTGTGTTGTTATACATTTGTCCAAAACCACAGAATGTACAACACCAAGAGTGAAACCCTAATGTAAACTATGAACTTCGGGAGATTATGATGTATCATTGCAGGTTCATCAATTATAACAAATGCACCACTGGCGAGTGATGTAGAAGCTATGCATGTTGCGGGCAGGGGGCAGGAATGATGTGAGAAATCTCTGTACGTTCCTCTCAAATTTTCTGTGAACCTAAAACTGCTCTATAGTCTTTTAGAAAAAAAATTTATGAATAGCATGTTAATTACTCATTAATTTTAGCATCAAAAATTGGGAAAAATCCAGATGTTCAACAATGGGTAACAGGCTAAGCAAATTATGGCACAGTAGGTAATCACAGAATTAAACCTTAGGAGATGCAGATATTGTACATCATTTTTTAAAGCAAAATGACTTAGGTACATGCGAATGATATGTTAAATGAAAAAAATACACGAACACAAAACTGTACATGCAGCATAGTTCCTTCTCAGTGAAATGAACAAATACATACATACAAAGACAAATAGGTTCTCAGAATAAGACAGCAAAATACAACAAAATGTGAACAGTGGTGGTCTCAGAATAGAGAGATTATAAACAACTTTCATTTTCATTACATTCTTTCTAATTTCCCAATAAGCATGTAGTTTATATAATCAGAAATTTTTTTAAATGTAAAATAGGTAGTGGGTTTAACAGTGACCCCTCAAAGGATACCCACCAGAACCAGTGAATGTGACCTTATTTGGAAAAAGCATCTGTACTGATATAACTAAGGATCTCAAGGTGAATCACCCTGGATTTAGGATGGGTCCCAAATCCAATGGCACGTGTCCTCATAAGACACTGAAGCGGGGAACACAAGCAGTAAGGCCAGCTGAAGACAGAGGCAGAGGCAAGAACGACGCGTCCATGAGCCAAGCACCGCAGGCAGCCAGCCAGAGCAGGGAGACAGCCAGGAAGCCGACTCTCCCTCAGAGCCTCCCGAAGGGGCCAGCCCTTATGACACCTTGATTTTCAACTTCTGGCCTCCAGAACAATGAGAAAATAAATTTCTATTGTGTTAAGCTACCAAATTTGTGAGAATCGGCTGCTACAGAAAACTATCACAGCTACAGAAAACTAATACCCCATGTAAAGGTAATAAGTCACATTTAACAAATATTAAAACATACATGAGCAGTTTTTACTTCTTTTGAAGTAGATCATACCCCTAAATAAATAAATGTGTGTTCGTGTGTGTATACATGTGTGTGTCCACAGGCATGCATACATGTTCCAGTTTAATTTTCCTAGAGCAGACACCTCAAACACAGGAATCACGGCTGTGACCCAAAGACATCATGTAAGGCCTTTTACAAACATTCATCTCTAGAATCTATGTTTCCATAAAACAAAAGACCATAGCAGAAAGGATGACCAATATTTCCCCTAATATCCCCAAATGTCTTTGATACTTACTAATGCCTTTTTCTTTGGGAGCAATCTTCTCCATGTCTTTTAATTGAAATACATCCTTCTGTTTAAAACAAATTTTTTTAAAGAGATGAAAAACATGCTTTTATACTATATATTTATACTTACCATAACTATGTTCATAAAACACTGTACTAAAATACTATGCCTGGAAATGAACAGTGCAATTGAATCAGGCATTCTAGAGCTAGAAGAGACTGCAATTATCTTGCTTAATATCCTCAATAGAAATTAAAATGGACAGGTTTTGCATGAACATACAATTCTTAAAGTAACTGGAAAACACCATCCCACTGAAGTATAAAAACCAGTTAAAATGAATCATGTGTTAATGTGAAATAATCCAGCTTCTCTGACACTGATTTTAATTGTCAGATGGGAATGAGAGAACATACTTGCAGATATGCCTGCTAAAGGGTTAATATCCAAAATTTATAAAGAACTTATAAAACTCAACACTAAAAAACCCCAAACAATTCAATTAAAAAATGGGCAAAGGACCTGAATAGACAGTTCTCCAAAGAGGATATACACGTGGCCAATAAACATATGAAAAGATGCTCGAGGTCACTTATCATCAGAGAAATGCAAACTAAAGCCACAATGAGATATCCCCTCACACCGGTCAGCATGGCTGTCATCAATAAGTCAGCAAACAAGTGCTGGCGGGGGTGTGGAGAAAGGGGAGCCCATTGGCACTGTTGGTGGGGATGCAGACCGGGGCAGCCAGTGTGGCAAGCACTACAGAGATACCTCAAAAAATTAAAAATGCATCTGCCTTTCAACCCAGCAATCCCACTTCTGGGAATATATCTGAAGAAACCCAAAACACTCATTTGAAAGAACATAAGCACCCCTATGTTCACGGTAGCATTATTTACAATCGCCAAGATATGGAAGCAGCCCATGAGTAGGTGAGTGGATAAAACCACCATGGGGTATTTACACATTGGAATACTACTCAGCTGTAAAAACGGAAGAAAAATTTTACCCTTTACGACAGTATAGATAGACCTGAAGAACAGTATGCTAAATGAAATAAGCCAATCAGAGAAAGACAAAGACAAATACCATATGGTTTCACTCATATGTGGAATCTAATGAACAAACTGAACTAACATGCAAAATAGAGACAGACTCAGAGAGAGCAGGAAGACAGCTGCAGGGTGGGGGATGGGGACGGAGGGACCGCGTGAAAGGAATAAGCACTCACAGACGTGGACAACAGCATGGTGAGTGCGGGGCAGGGAGTGGGGTTTAGGGGGATGAATGGTAATGGAAAAAATACAGTAAAAATAAATAAAAAATATCTTAAAAACCATTTCTGGGCCATATCCTTGATTAGAGGATGGCTAAAACTGATATCTCAGATTTGAGATAAGACAAAAATGCCCCAAGACTTAGAGATGTTTATGGAAAATAATGAAGATAAAAATACTGTAATTTCAAAGCCATAAGAAGGCTTTCTATGTAATGACGTATAAACCTATAATATGTATCTGAAAAGTGCATGATTTCTCTGTTCTAGCCCCACCAAAAATCCGAACACTGGGGATTGTAAACATGAACTTGAACCACAGGTCAAAGCAAGTAATAAGAATTTTGCATAAACTAAAAAAAAAAAAAAAACAACAAACCACAAACAGTAGATTGCTTATTACCTATCGTACGTTACATATTTAGCAGTTCTAACTAAAAGCAAAACAGACAACTGTCAAGACTTGTTTATATTTAGTTTCATAGGAAGAGCTACACTTAAACAATAGGAAAATTGTGTAATTCATGGCTGCCTATCAATCATTCATCTACATAAGTTGCATGTTCACCAAAGCAAAAATTATGGGAATCTATACATGTAGGATGTTTAACCTTATGATTTCTCTTTTTTGTAATAAGCCTTGGTTAAAGTGGTGAAAAAAAATGTGGATAAACAAAGTGAAATATTTAAGACAGAAATATTCAGTAATTAGAAGAGAATTATTGTGATTATTGTTATGAAAGTCTGGGTCTATTTCTTCCAACATAGACCGGAAAAGGCAAGTTCAATAGGATGAAAATTAGCCTTCATAAAAATTTAAAACCTCTGCTCATCCAAGGAACTATTAAGAAACTGAAAAGAAAAATAATGACGAGAAGACAATATTCACAAAGCATGTATCTGACAAAAGACTGGTACCTGGGTATACCTTTTACCACTCCCCCAAGAAAAACTGATGGATGGATAAAGGAGTGGCTAGGTGAATATATATGATGGTGCACTTAGAGTTAAAATGTTAATGGTAGAATTTAGGTGTGGAACATATAGGCAGTACTGTAAAATTCTTTCATCTTTTATAATAAAATGGCAGAAAAAGTAACTTAATCTCACTAAACTTCAGGTTTAGTAAATTAAGGGAAATACTAAGTCGTTGGTCTTAGGATGTGAAATCAATTTCTGCACACTGGGAATAAACTGTTTAAAAATAACACACTAGGGTCTCAGAGAATATGCAATGAATTACTGGATTTAGGCCTCTAATGCATTAAAAAAAATCAATTAATCAAACCTATTTGCAAATATTTCAGATTTCCTGGAAAAAGGACATGTACTGATGGAGACAACTGCCTGTTTGTGGTCATCAAGGAAGAGCCCCAGACATACTGGTTGCCCCAGTGGGGTTGCTGTGTAAATAAATGAGCTTGCAAAGAACTAGCCTCAGAACTAAAATGTGGTCATTTAAATGGGCACAGAAAATGGACAAGTATATATTATTTCTCCCCAGCATTAAACAAACATACTAAAGAAGAGATGAACACAAGGTTCTAGCCTGTAAAAAAAAAAACAAAAAACTATGTGTAAGATACCACTAGGTAACTTTTAATTACACACTTATAACCTAGGCATTGCAGTGTTATACACAATCATATCAGTTAATTCTTACAACAACACTGTGAGCTGGGTACAGTTATTATCTTCCTTAAAAGGTGAAGGAACTGATACTTAGGTCAAACAGTTTTCTTAAAATCATAAAGCTATTAGGCAAAATCGACTTCAGGTACAAGTTCTTTACCATTGAGCTATGCTCCCATGTTCTTCTTACGTGTAACAGGCAAAGAATTATTTCTCTAGTACATTCACAACTTCATATATACAAGTATTCATATGAATGAACATATATAGGAATATATAAACTGAAAACAATCAGCCCATAAATTAGTATGATTATAGTCATGCACTGCATAGTAACATTTCAGTCAATGACCTGCAAGATTGTAATGGAGCTGGAAAATTCCCATCGCCTAGTGACACTGCAGCCAGCCATCCTTTCAGCGCAACATATCACTCACATGTTTGTGGAAAGGCTGGTGTAAAACCTACTGCATTGCCAGCGGCATGAAAGTATAACACATACAATTATGTCCAGTATATAATACTTGATAATGATAGTAGGTGACTGTTACTGGTTTATGTGTTTACCGTGTATTTTACCATTATTTTAGAGTGTACTCTTTCTGTTTATTAAAAAAACTTTGCTGTAAAACAGTATGCTATGCTGGCAGCAACCTCATACATCTCATGCTTACTGTGTCTAATTGCATCATTTTCTCTTGTGCTTGACTGAATCTTGTGCTGTTTTCTACAGTAACGTGCTGTAGAGGCTTGTAGCCCAGGAGCTATGGGCTACACCATATAGGTGTGTAGTAGGCTATGCCATCTAGGTTTGTGTAACAACAAAATCACCTAACAAAGCATTTCTTGGAACATAGCCCATCATTAATCTGTGCATGACTGTAATTGAGAGCAGAACTGAATGGTAGAAAAAGAAGAGACTAGACAAAGAACACGTATGACTGACCCATGGACGCGGACAGCAGTGTGGGGACTGACTGTGGGAGCGGGGGGTGGGGGGGGTGGAGCAGGGCAAAGGGGGAAAACTGAGACAACGGCGATAGAATAAACATGATTTTAAAAAAAAATTAAAAGAAGAAATAAAAGGCATCCAGATTGTGATGCAAGAAGAAGAAAAATACCCAATTTTGATATTTGAGAAAATTCTAGCAATATCATAAAGGACAAATAATTTTCCTACCACTCTCCCCAACTTACCCCTGCCCGGTAGGAATTAAATCTACTTTTCTTGCTTTGAGACCATAGGGAAAATATTTCAACTCAGAAGAACAAATAATCATAATCCTCATGTACAAACTTCATCAATTTATCTTTCTAATCATATCATCACTAACATGATACCCTGTTTTGAACTGCCAAGGACTTCTAGTAATTCACTGCATGTAAGATTAGTAAGATCACACTTAGAGGACAAACAATTTAAAAAGAAAAAGTCCCCAGAATATTTCACTTGTTTTACTGAGAATCCACATTATTAAAATGAAAATGTCAGGTATTATCATTATTTATTAATTTCATACTCTTCTTTGCCATTTCCCCCATCTTTTTCACATTAATATATAACGAAAATAGCCAGTAGGTTGGGGCCAGACTAGACTTTGAAGGCCCTGTCAAGTATTAGGCTAAGATACAAGTTACTATTTTCTGTAGGTCAAAAGTATGGACTTTACCGTGGAAGCCAAGAAAAGCCACTGCATAGCAGCAACACGGTAAAGAAAATGGGCTTCAGAGCCAAATGACTGAACTTGAATCCTAGCTTTGCCACTTAGGAGAAGGAACTTCAAACATATTTCCTGTTTGTGGCAGGAACAAATAACTGGAAAAAATTAAGAAGGCCATCATATATGTGTCACACTATAGATTGATTTATAAATGCAGAGATGGTATTTAGCCCTGCCGTTAAAATCAGATGACCCTTCCTGGGTTTGAATCCTGGTACTACCACTTCTGTTTTTTGAGATCCAGGGCTAGTACTTTATAAGCTGTGTCTCAGATGTCCACATCGGTAGAATGAGAATGATAACAATAGTACTGATCTCACAGAGTTAAAAAGGATGAAATCAGATAAAACTACAACAAGTGACTGGCACTCAGCAGACGTGAGCTACTCTCATTACTTTCAAGCAGAAAGAGGACACAATCAAATATCTGCCTCAGCTAGTTTGGGGTCCACCATGCAGGAGAGTCTGGACAGGAGAGACCCCGTGGACACTGGGATAAGGCTGTTTCATACCGACAGCTCACAAGCACCACAGATATTTGCAGAATTGTATTCATTCTTCAGGAAATCAGTAAGTATTGATCTCTAATTAAAAAGGTACAGTTAACACTGGATGGCATACATGTAGGGAAAAATTATGCAAAATACTAAGAATCTTAAGGAAAACGACTTACCGTCTCAAAAAAAATTTCCATCATGCGGGCTCTCTTTTCCTCTGCACTCAGTCCTTTCTTCTTTGACTAAACCACAAAAAGTAAAAACCAAATGCCACATTTTTTTAAATATTGCATTTAAAAACAACTTGGTCTGAAACATTATCAGAAATTTTATGCATGATCTTGTCTGATACCAACAGGTTTGACAACACTCAGAGTAAGGGCTAAAGACTGATTCTCACTATTCTACTCCTACACCAAGCCTTGTGGTAGGTGCTGCCAGCACAATAAAAACTGATTGAGACAGAGCCTGGCATTCTTTAGAAATTCATTATTTATCAAATGATCCCATGACAAATCACACTATTTACCTTCAGAAGACTTAAAATCTCTAAAAGGAAACAAACAGATACAACTACTTATAACTGATGAACAGGTACATGCAGAAATTGTTTCACCGAACAGGATGCATTACCACTCAGGCCAGAATGAGTTACTTCCACTCGGAGGAGGAAGGAGAGTTCGCTAGGAGAGTTACAGATGAGAAGGAGAGTTGTGAAATGGCGAGAAAGGTGTCCTGGCCAGGCCACACACAGGCATGACGGTATGGTACAGAATGCTCTAGAAAGCCTGTGGATGATTTCTGTGTGGCACATGTAGAGGGAGTGGCAGGTGAGGTGAGAAAGGTCGTCTCGGGTCAGACGATGGAAAGCTGACTGTTCAGCTGAAGAGAGTGGACTTCATTCTAGGCAATGACCAGCTACTGCACAATTTCTAAAGCAGGGAGTGACAATATCAGAATTGCATTTTCGTAAGACAGTTGTCTAGCATTGTGGAGGGTGGGCGGAGAAGGGAAAACCTATCCAAGCGGAAAATGGAGCCCACTTCAGGTTACTATTATTCTGTAACTACCTTTTAGCCTACTTGAAATAAGATAATATGTAACTAAAATGTATGTTAATAAATTTTACTATATATTGTATATATAGTTCAAAATAAAAAGAGTAAAGGAAAAGCCAGGTTTCCTCAATGCAAAGAATCACAGAAAATAACAGAAGGGAACAAGAATCATCATCTCTAGCACTCTAATTGAGGACTCCGCATTAATGTTTCTTAAGATCTGCATCTTTCTCAAAAATTGCACATAAAATAAACTTTAAAGCACATTATACCACTTAAAAAGCAGACATAAATAAAACAATTAAAGACTGACCCTATCCAACCAGAGTCTCCATCAGAAAACAAGGACCCATGACACATGCAGCGAGGGATTTGGAATTGCCATTCTGAATATATAACAGAGTATGAGTCTTTATTCTATTTGCAGAGCCTAGAAACCCACCAACTCATCCTCACAGCAATAAAATTATCCTGTGTTCCTTGATGAGCCATATGGGAAAAACGAGGAGGCTTCAAGTTTAGTTTTTCTCTGTCTACTCTCAACACTGCAGTTGCCGAGGGTTCTTTATCAATGTCCCCTCCTCACACCTTCCCTTTGATGTCGTCGGCTTTCATGGTTTTAACTAACACAGAGTTCTCAAATCTTTCCCTATCAGTCCCTGAGTGTGCTCCTGAGCTTTGATCTCCTGTATCTACCGGCCCGCTGGACACACTTCAAACTCAGGAGGTCTAAACCGAACTCCTCCTCTCCCATACCTTCTCCCCAAACCTGCTGCTCTAGACCTTGAGCTCAGCTAGACATCGCCGTGTCATCCAAGCCAGGGCAGCGGCCTGGCAGTCATCCTCGGTGTCTTCATCTCACCCCACGTCCAGCCAAGCGCCAGCTTCTGCCAATGGCAGTGCTTAGCCATTTCACAAATCTACACTGTCTGCTCCATTCTCACCACCTCTACCTCAATGCAGGCCTTCAGGATCTGCCGGCTGCAACACACCTGCAGGCTCCTAAGCACACTCCACCTCGCCCTCTAAGTCCACGTTCCGCACTGTTCAAAGCCTTCGCTGGCTCCCTGCCATCCAGAAGCATGCAGTACCCTAGGAATGACATACAAAAGCCTCTATCGCCTGGCCCCCATCTACTCTCACAGATATCACTCCCCACCTCAAATTTTACCATGAAAACAGGAGAGCTAAGCAACTGGAGCTGTAATACAAAAGCTACTTGTAACTTTCCACTTGCAGAATGCTCTTTCCCTTTTCTGTGCCTTTAAAAATGGTCTACCTAAACACCTTCTCCTCTTTACCTGTTCGAGACTCCAAAAAGTCTCCCAGCAGCGTCCTTCAGGCATGGTCTCAGAGAACTGTCCTGAGCTCTCAGGCTGGGCTGAGTGCCGTCCTCTGTGTTCCCAGAACACACCTTCATCAAGTCGCTTACTACAGTTAAAAAGATGTGCTTACTTGTCTCTCTCAGCAGAATGCAGATCTCCAGAACACGACCTGCCTTTGCCTGCTCAGAGCTTAGTGCCAGGTTAGACAGAGCAGAGGTAAAGACAAGCCTTAGTATCAGGACCAAGTATTAAAAACCCCTAACCCTAAAATTTGAGGCTGTTCAGTTCCCAAACCCCACAACACCCACTGCATTCCCATAAATATGATTTGGGGTGAAATAATAATAAGAAATTCTGCGACAGCCATTTATTGCCTGGCTTAGAGAGGTGAAAGAGAAAAAGCTCAGGGAGACCTGTTCACTAAATGGAGGGAGCTAGACTTCAATGCTGCTTTATGCCTCCTTTCACGTTGGCCTACGCAGTACCTGAACAAACCAAGCCCGAATGCACGCTCAGCCTGAAGGCCCCCTCAGGCCATTCTACTAGTCCACCGGGTCTCAAACTGCCATCAGAATCATGTCAGGGGCTCTTAAAAAATGCTGATGCCCAGGCACATCCCTTAAGAACTCAATCAGCATCTCTGAGAAGGGACCTCAGCTTATTCTAAAAATCTTTTCCAGGTGCTTTAATTGGGCCCTAAGATTAAGACCGCTGCTTTTCTCACCCCCGAGTCTAGAGGCCATTATCGGGGCACTTGTGGAGCGGTGAGAATCCCTTTTGGTCTTCAGTCTGTGGCTGCATCAGCGAAAAACAGATCCAAAGCTTTCGGAAAGGCTCCTCATCCTAATGTGTTGGTATTACAAGCAGTTCCTTGGAGAGACCTAGTGACTCCACAGGAATCTATCTGCCAGCCAGAGGCAGGCAATGAGAGAAATCCCGAGTGCTGGGGGCGGCTTTGGGGATGCTCTTAACGCTCAGCACAGCAGCTGTGAAAGTTACTCAAGAACGACGGATGAGCTGTATCATCCACTTACTTTCCTTTCAGGCTCATTTATTCATCAGTCTCTTTTATGACTACAAATAGTTTTTACTTTTAACCACAGTAGCAGAGCATCATGGCTGGAATTAAAGTAATCAATGTGAAAAGATGCCATATTAATCCATATTTAGAAATTTCTCTAAAAAACAATCAACAAGAGCTCCTTTAATACTCTGGATTAAAGAAAATCCTGATTGTTTAAATTAGAGATACATTCCAATTAGTAAGTAAAGGGACGCAAAACTTGACTTGAGGACAACAAAAGAACCTTTTCCTATTGGGAGTTGCAGAATTCCTAAAGTCAGCCCTGTTCAATCAATTACAATAACATTTTGCAAAATTAAAAGTAGATGATATCTGCAGCACTCAGAAGTGGCAGACCACATCGTATTTCTCCACTTCCACTTCCAAAAACATGCCTGGACTTATAATAGCTGTTTACTCAGCAAGCCCAACCAAATCAAAACAGCTATTAATTCACAATCAGGAAAGAGAACAAACGTTATCTCCGGTCAACAGAACACTAAACTTATTTCTTAATCATTAATAAAAATAGGAAGTGTGTAGCTATAAAACGTTTTCTAATTTGTTTCATGTTTCTCCATTATCGGAGGTAAGAATCTGAATAGTTAACGGCACAATAAACCATTAGGTATTAGAAGGTGATTTATGAGTAGAGATTAGGTAAAAGAACAAAGTTAATGCCCCTGTGCTGCATAGTTATCAGGAGTCAGTTCCATTCGGCCAGGAACTCTCTAAGAGAAATATGGTATCACATACCACTGGTAACAGATTTAAGGGTGGTCTTGTTTGGCTTCTTACATAATTTCATGCCCAGGTGGCTGGGGTGGTAGTTTAACCACAAAGAAACCGTTATCAGTTCTAATTACATCTGGACAAGTATCTTCAAATAAACACCGAAGAACCTACATCCATGTGTACCCTTAACTCGGCAAAATAACGGACGCTTAACTAAATTAAGATATTAAAATCCATTGAATTAGATGCTGATTTTCTGCCAACAGAAGCAGAAAAAACAGCATGAAATTCTGAAAGTTTATGAAAATGATTTGATGACCACAAAGGCATTAACTTCAGAGACGATTTGGATCCTTACCAGCTCTTATCCCATCACAGGGCTCCAGGACGCCCAAGTGTGGCCCTGCCCTAATCAAATGACAAACTCTCTACCGACCAGCAGCCAAAATCATCTAACTGGTATAAAGTGAAGATTCACCGGGGTACTTTTGAAACTCTGAGCCATTCAGAAACATGTTCTACACGTAGCGACGCAAAAGACTACTCGATTGTCAAAAACCAATAGAGTCATTTGGGACCAAAGGTGTCCTAACCTCTGTCTCGCTGACACCTTTCTTTCCTAGTTCTTCATAAGGGGATGCACTTTCTTGCAGGGGCTCAGGCTTGGAAGTGACTCGTGGTCTCTCGGACAGATCGCAGTTTTGTGTGATTCTCGGGTCACGCTCCCGAACGCTTCGCGTGTTTAATCTAACTTGCCGGGAGACAGGGGCTGGGGGCGAAAGGGCTGGCGTTCCCTTGGCTCCCTGCCGCGGCCCAGGGGCGCACAGGGGGCAGGGGTCTCAGCGCTGCAGTTCAGCCTTCGGGACGGGCGGTGGAGGCAGGTGGGTGAGCACGCGCTCAGGGGCGTCCCGCTGCTCTCGGAAAGTTCGGGGTGGCCAGGGTGTCGCACTAGCGGCCCCTCCGTGTGAGGCCCATGGGCCGAGCGCCAGCCCCCGAAGCCCGCCAGGGCCAGGATCCCTGCAGCCCGGAGACTGGGGAAGAAGGGGACCCGGGAGCATAGTCTCAGACCTTACCATGGCGCAGGCGGCGCGTCTTCCGGTGGCCTGCGCGCGGGGACGAGGGGCGGGGCGCGGAGGGGTTTAATTTTGGCGCCAACCCCGCCCTAGGGGCGGGGCAACGAAAAGGAGGTGGTAGGAAAAAGACCGACCTTCGCCCCGAAGGTGCGCAGCGACCCCTGGCGGCCCCGCCGAGAGGCTGGCGGGGTGTGGCGGGACCTCATTAGTATAAAAGTTTTGAGTTATTGCTAGCTTCTACAAATTCTAGAACATTCCTTCATCCTTCCACTGGGAAAGAGAGTATATTAAAGAAACATTGACCCCGGAAACGGAGAAAACAAGCTTTATTATAATGATTTGAGATTTTTTGTGCATGGTAAAGATAATACACTTGAATCTTGTTTCTCCTATGTTTCAAGACAGAATTAAAGTTTTATTGTAGACTAAAGCATCCAAAATACTGTGGTACGTATGTAGCTACGAACATACAAACACTTCGATGCACAGCGTTTATTTTTTTCTTTAAATAGGCAATCAGCATTTTGATTCATAAAAGAACAAATGAGAATATATCAATCAGTATCAATGTCCGAGCACAAGGATTAGTGTTCTATACATAAAATGTATGAAACAGACCTATAAAGATGGAATGTACAAAATTCAAAAAGAAAAAAAAGGAAGCAAAAAACCTTTATACTCATACATAGGATTGAAAGGCTACAGAACTGAGAATGATATAAAGAATTCTATGACAAGAATACACTCTTGTTGATGACAGAACATTCCATGTCATAAAGCAAAAGCGAATTTAAGGCTGTGCTGCTTTCAAAAGTTAATGAAAGTGCTGTACATTCATTGGAAAAACATAGCCAATTTATTAATCGGTTTTAGAATATTAATAGCTTTCATACGTCCTCCACAAACAAACCTCACAATCACTGCCACACAATTCATCTTCAGAAAGTTTAAGATTAACACCATGATCTGTAGCTTACTGTCATTTAAAACAAACAAAAATTATTTATTTATACCAAACAAATCTTTAATGGGCACTTAGTTCCTTTATGGCAATACTAGATTCCTAGTTATCAAAAATATTAAAATAATTGTAAAATTTAAAACCCTGCAACGTTTACAGAATGCAACAGTATTACAACTTTCGGTTTTAAGCAAAATTAGATAATGTTTGCAGCAAATAGTTTTAATTTTGTCCTACCTGGAAATGTCTTTTTAAAAATTACGAAACTAAAAATACTCCTCCCTTTTCAGAAGCTGGTGAATAGAGAGGACACTATAGAGTCCAAATGTACAAAAAGATTTTTCCCATTTGAAGCAATCTGGAGATGACCTGATATTTATTTGGCATTCCCTCCAATTAACTTAGTAGGTATTACCAAAGCATTCATGTGAACCCTTTAACGTTAATGATCCATAGTCACTTGCAAGCGTACTGCTATTCCAGTTAACTCCATGTTAGGACATACCCTGTATATTCAGTAGTAGAAGCAAGTGTTTCTAGTTTTATGGACCTGTAGTATTTATTTGCCTCAAATATAGTCAAAGAATAAATAAAAATAAGGAACTTGGGGACTTGTTTAGTTACTGGAGACAAAGGTTTGATCAAGATACTAAGTACCATTACAAAATGGCAAACAGTCATAAAGGCTTTTTATTCATGTGTTTCTGAATGGTCAGATGACTCTTTACCACCCCATGTCCAGCAGGGGAGGTCTGTATTGGGAGAGAACACAATGTCATTGACCTTTACTCTAACTGGTAATGTTTTACCCTAGTGCCCAGGGGAAATTTGAATGGGTAATTTTTCAGTGCTACTTATCATGAGTGTATGACAGGTTCTGTACACTTGACAAAGAGAAATCAAGCAATAATGGTAGTCTGGAAAAAAACTCACTTACTTTAATATCCTTCTCAGTTTACCAGAAACCATTTTCCATAGAATGCGACAAAATTTCACTTAAATCTGGTCTATTTGTATTTTAGCAGCACTTTTCCCCCTAAAATATGCTTACCAAGAAATACAGTAAATGCACATATGTATCCAAATATGAAATGTTATTTATATTTTAACATATATGATTACATATTTGGGGGGAAAATATAGTGTTTCCTGGAGTGCCCATAGCATGTGTTTTAGTAACAGAGAAACAGGTCTGAATCAAAGCATCTATTCTTTCATTCCAGTTTGTGCCAATTACAACATGTAAAAAACTTAGCTTTGTCTTTCATCTACTAATTGAGATATTCAGCGTGATACGGTATGATGGCTAGTTAATTTCTAAGTTTACACATATAATTTAAATGTGCAAAAAAAAACCCCTTTAGGTCAACTAGTCTTAAGATCAATAGCCTGTGACAGAATCTAAATAGGAAGACTTTTTACTTGTGAAAATAAACTAAAATTAATTTAACCAATTTAAAAAGTTTTCTTTTAAATAGCCTAGGAGGTATCAAAAGTCTAGCTTATCTTTTATGCAGAATATTAATAAAGGGCAAAATGAAAGTCCCTCCCTAGAGGGTAAGCTCCAAAGGGGCGGGAACTTTGTTTCCTCCATCGCTCTGTCCCCAGTGCCTAGAACAGCTCCTGGCGCCTGGCAGGCACTTGTTACATATGAAGGTTTATATTCAAAGGCTTATTTCACTAATGCTAGGAAACAGTTTCTTAACATTCTAAAAATGTTATTGAATTTTATAACTTTATCACAGACAATCTTAAATATTTTGAAGACTCTACCTAACTAAAAAAAGTACTAAATCTAAATGTTTAGATTTCTGAAAAATACTTTTCAGAGTTTGATTTGGGCATAAATTTGATAGACAACTGGAAGTAACTAGATTTTTTTTCTAAATTTAAAAAATTCCTATAGAAGAGAGTGACTGAATTATAAATTAACAAGCAATAAAGGTCACATTCATATAATTATACATATGGGAAATGTTTTCTTATAGTACAGTTCTAAGGTGCTTTTAGTGAAAAAGACCCCAAAGTCATTACTGAAAATGCCAAACATGACATCCTATTTGGTAGAACTGAGTAGAAAATTAAACAGTGAAAATAAACCACATCTTATTTTACAGTATCAATGATGGATTAATGATAGACTAAATTATTCTTAACATTTCTCAAAATGCATTTATACTTAGTTTAAATGCAACTCAAGTTCAACTTTTCTTTTTTGACCTGTTTGGTTTGGTTGTTTTTTTTTGTTAGTTTGTTTTGTTTTGAAAGACCAGAAGGCCATTTTCTGATGCAAAGTCAGTCAATACCATCATTCCCAGAAAATGGCAAAAATGAAATCTGCTTTAGGGCTTGTTCTACTGGGGCGGCTTGAAGCTGCCCCGTAAAGGAATGTGCTGAAGAAAGGCTGGACAATGCTCCTGTCTTTCAGAGTGCTGCCTATTTCAATACACCGAAGATTCAGCTATATATAGAGATATATATGATACATTCTACCTTACCCTACTCATGTATACATAGTCCTTTAATGCCTCTACTATTCATTAGACGACGATAAATAACCATAACATGCCCTTACCTGTAATGCTTTCACAACTTTGGTAACACTTGCTTTCTAAGGGGAAACCATTACGCAACCACATGCCTTTGGTTGACACCATCCGTCCTCCAAAGGGCTTCTTATGGCTCTCTGTCCTAGGATACTGGTGTCCGATTACATGTGCTGACATTTTGCAGGAGGTAAACCTTTCGCTTTCATGAAGTGGATGAGGAGAGACACATGTGAGAACATGGCACAAAAAACATGACTAACTTTTTCTTGATTACATTCCAGTGCATTGACCTGGAGTTGGGCTCTGTTTACCAACAGGTACCATTACGATCGTAGTATGCTTTTCAAAGCATTAGGAATTTCAGGTTTCCCTGAAAATGTACATTGTTTTTTGTTACAACGTGAGCAGGAGAGAGAAGGTGGAAAGAACACACAAAAAAGGATCTTTGATCTAGCCCAGGAAGGATGGAAAATTTGCATTTATTTTTAAGTGCTAAACTCAGAGGCCTGCTAATCACAGATGGGAGGATTTTGTAAGAGAGTCTTATTTGTTTTCCTAAAGTAATTTATGTGTTGTTACTGATAACCAAAAAAAATGTCACAAGAGTGATACCTAATGTAAAAGTGAGGTTAGAAGATCCCTCAGGTCTCGTGACCGAGGTTAAAGTATATAACTACAATAGATTCTGTTTTTGTTTTGTTTTGTTTTTGGAAGCTCTGCACAAAGGCTACCATTCACCAGATGAACAAATACCTTTAAATCTTCTAGGTTCTCTTTTAATGCTTGTTTGATTTGCAAAATTAGTTTAACTACATAAATCCCTGTCCTATAAGCTGTAGTTCATGGGTGTAAAACTTTGCAGTTTTTATAGATTCAGTAGAAGAGATCTCTCTCTGTTTGTTTGTTTTGTTTGTTTTAACCCTAAAGGTCAATTACAGAAATCAGATATGCAATTTTTAAGGAAATCGTTACATTCAGAAATAACCTTGGAAAGTTCAGTGATGATTCCTTCTAGCATGGAAAGTCTAGTATAATCTGGTCCCGCGCCGAGAAATCCATTCCAGTTTATAGTGCAAGACCTTTGTAAAGGGTGGTCCGACTGCCCACCGTTACTGCAAGTACCGATAGACCTTGAAACAGTGGTTCCCAGAGTCTGCAACCACAACGTGGCCGTCTGAAGTCAGG